GTCTCTGTGTGTTGTCTCTGGACATGCTCACTGCCCTTGCGTCCCACACCCGTTGCGGAATGTCGGTGTCATTATGTGCAAGTTTTTTTTAATTATTTTTTTATTTTCATGCCTTTAATTTCAGGCAAAGATTAAGAGCATGTTAGGAATTTTTTGCCTCCAAAACCCATGTTGTCACGTTTCACCACTTTGTCCGAACAGGTCTCTCTTGTAAACGAGTCTTTGAGGCTCAATGTGATTTATCTGTTTAAATAAAGGTTGAATGAACAAACCTGCTTCCATCCATCATCTTATCTCTCCCTCCACTTCAGTTGTTCATGATCACTTTGTGATCACAGACCTTTTCCACAAAGCCGATTTAAAAACAACTGCAGGTCTTTAAGACTGATTTTTTTATTCTAAAATATTTTTGTTTTGTTTGATAAGAGTATCTGGATTCATCAGTTTTTCTGTTGCGGTTGTTAACAAAATACAGTGAAATTAATGTTCACCTGCTTCTAGATGGGAGTGGTGCTCATGTGTGTATACTGGTTATATACATTAAATAACCCTCTAAATTACATTTAGGACATTACAAGTAATCCTTTTTAAGTAATAGAAATGCCTTCCAAACAGTTTGCCGACATCAGTGATGATTTCTGAGTGAAACAGAAATGCCTGAATTATTATTATTGTGTACACATTAAGTGAAGTATTTGCACCTGGGCTTCTCCTGAGTCTCTATCTGCTGGATTATGCTCTCCATCCAGGCCATTAGGTCTCGCACCATGCTGAAAAAGCGAAACTTCTCAGCCGTGTCCACCAGCTGTGTTCGGCGGCCGTCAGAGGCGTCCAGCAGACCCTTCCAGGCATCTACCACCTCCTTCTCAGTGGTCCGGATGGCGTCTGCTCTGTCCCCAGCATACTGAGCATGAAGCCGTGAGGCTGTTTCCTGGAACTGTTGCACCTGGAAGATGGACAAACATTAAGCACGTATATTCTGTGAACATCGCACCCAGCCCCAACTCTCTTCCCTTTTCTTGCTTTTTTATATATATTATAATTGTAAGCCCAATTGTTTGTTTCTGTTAGTTTATATGGTCTAAAACAAATAAAGTAGTAATATCCGGTTCGATGTTCGCAGACTCGCTCTATCGCAGATCAGGGACGTTCAGTCCATAATATTGGACAAAAAACAAAACCAGTGTACTGTAAAGCGTATGTAACATTTTATCTGAGTATAGTTCATGTAGTACATAGAATATTTAGTTACTGGTTACTTCGGTTTATGAAGCAGCTTGTTCTGCTGCCTACCTCGTAGATTCCTCAGGTACCCTGCTTTGCTGCTACACAAGGTTCGGTGGTGAAAATGATATTTAGTGATCAAAGTGTCATGCAGTAAAGAAACTCATGGAGCTCCGTGTGTAAAATAAATCAATCTTAAAGGCTAGTTGTCAGTGTTCTTGTAGATGAACAGATGCTGAGATATATTCATCAATTAAAACGGATTCTTCATTTTTCTGGACTGTGTAACATACGTGCATTGATTTTAATAAAAATGTAACGTGAGACGTTATTTATCTTTGACCCATCAAAATGAATGTGGCCATTTATTTACAGAATCAAAGTTTAACATCAAACATTTACATTAATTTGGCAAAATATGAAATTAACAACCTAATTAATCAGCAGCTGTACACTTAGAAAACCATACGGCGATGGTTGAAACTTTACACAGACATTTCTAAAATATCTGGAATGATTTCTACTTGAGAGAAGAATTTAAAGATGGAAAGATGGAGTTTAAAGGAGTGAAAGATGGATGAGGGAGAATGTTTCTGTCGGCACTCAGAAACAGCACTCTCCATTCGAACCCAGCTTTTCCTCGGTACGCTCGGTAGTAAACTTGACTCGTTACCTCTCTGAAGATGAATCAGCGGATACGGAGTTCCAGTTAACGCTACCTTTCAGCGTCTCCGTAGGATGGCTGTGAATCGTCCGAAGCAGTGAAGATATTCCGTCCAACACAAGCTCACCTCAGCAAGTGGACTTCACATGAGTGGAGTCCTTCAGAAGTTCCACTCAGAGGTGGAAGATGTTATAATCCCATAAAACTCGGAGGAGCCCTGCGGTCATGTCAGGGTTTTCCTGTTTCCCAGCCAAACTCCACCAGAACTTCACAGAACTCACAGAACTGAGAACTGGGCACATCACAGAACTGCCACTTCACCGCCCCTCTCAGAACTGCTACCACACAGCACTGGGAAAACTAGGAAGTACCGACATTTTGAAGAGGCTCTATTTCCGGTTCATTTGGGAGTCTCTGATTGGTCAATGTCAACCAGACAGGGGTGTGGTTTGTGACGTAAGAGGTTACTAGAAGTCAGAAAACAGCAAGAATTGTTATGGAACAGATTAAAAATGTTCTCAGAGACAGAGAGAGAAATGTTTTGGCGAGTTTGGAGAAACAGGTGCCAACTTCTCTGTTGACGTCTGAGAGGATGTAAACAAGACAGTTGTTCCAACACATGTCTGCTTCGACTCCTGACCTTGGAAAACGTACACTGCTCATTCAAAGACAGAAATCAGAAAATGCATAATTACTCTGTAACAGGCCTTAACATGAATTCTAACTTTGCATAAGCAACTCAAAAAATCATTGTTACTGTTTTATAGTTAATAAAATTGATTAGTTCACTGTAACATCTAAAATGTTTGAACTAAGACACTTTGATTATCAAACATTTGTAAAACAGTAATGATAATAGAAAAGAGAGTGTTCTTTCACTTGAATTTTCAAGAAAGAAAGTCTCAGGATGGGTGAACCTGTATTTCTGGATTCAAATCAATGAAATGACAGTTTCTGTCCCACTAGGTTCTTAAGGTCAAGGGTTTTGACCTTAGGCTTAGTTTTGACATCAGGTCAAGTTCACTACATTCTTTTAGTGTTCAGTCTTCAGGTGAGGAACGAGCTGTGAAAGATCAAGGTGCGTAAAGCTGCAGGTCCAGATGGAATCAGCTCCAGGCTCCCAAGGTGCTGCTCAGATCAACTGTGTGGCATCATGGCATTTATCTTCAATCTGAGCCTGAAGCTGGAGAAAGTACCACAACTGTGGAAGACCTCCTGGGTGGTACCAGTACCAAAGACCAAACATCCAAAGGACCTCAGTAACTACAGGCCGGTGGCTCTGACCTCACATCTGATGAAGACACTCGAGAGGCTGGTCCTCAACCATTTGCGTCACCTGGTGAGGTCTTCGTTGGATCCGTTGCAGTTTGCCTACCGGCCTGGCATCGGGGAAGATGACGCCATCATCTACCTCAGGCACCAAGCTCTGACCCACCTGGAGAAACCTGGAAGCACTGTGAGGATCATGTTCTTTGATTTCTCCAGTGCTTTCAACACAAGCCAGCCAGGACTTCTGCGGGACAAGCTGGAGTTATCAGGAGTGGATCACCACATGTCCCAGTGGATACTGGATTACCTCACTGGACGCCCACAGTATGTGAGGGCACAGGGCTGTGTCTCTGACAGGCTGGTCTGCAGTACAGGGGTCCCACAGGGAACTGTGCTGGCACCGTTCCTCTTCACCCTCTACACTGCAGACTTCACCATCAACTCCCTCACTGCCATCTGCAACAGTTCTCTGACTCTGCCACAGTCGGCCTCATCACAGGTGAGGACCACTCAGAGTACAGACAGCGGACTCAAGACTTGGTGGACTGGTGCCAGCAGAACCAGCTCCTGATCAACGCTGCTAAAATGAAGGAGCTGGTGGTGGATTTCCGCAGGCACAGGTCCACCTCACTGATCCCGGTGAACATCCAGGGTGTGAACATCGAGATTATGGACTCTTACAAGTACCTGGGTGTTCACCTGCGCAATAAACTGGACTGGTCTCACAACACTGATGCACTTTACAGGAAGGGTCAGAGCAGACTCTACCTGCTGAGGAGACTGAGGTCTTTTGGAGTGCAGGGGGTGCTCCTGAAGACCTGCTTTGACTCTGTAGTGGCATCAGCCATCTTCTATGGTGTTGTGTGTTGGAGCAGCAGCTTATCATCAGCTGAGAAGAAGCAGCTAGATAAGCTCATCAAGAAGACCAGCTCTGTGCTTGGACACCCCCTGGACCCAGTGCAGGTGGTGGGAGACAGAAGGACTCCAGCTAAAATCACATCATTGCTGGACAACGTCTCCACCCCATGAAGCTGCTGCTGAACTGGAGAGCTCGTTCAGTGACAGGTTCCTGCTCCTAAATGCACAAAGGAGCGTCACCGCAGGTCCTTCCTCCAGCAGGTCCTTCCTCCAGTAGGTCCTTCCTCCAGTAGGTCCTTCCTCCAGCAGGTCCTTCCTCCAGTAGGTCCTTCCTCCAGCAGGTCCTTCCTCCAGCAGGTCCTTCCTCCAG